TTTTTTTTAATTTTATCTCAGTTAATGTTAATTTATTTCAATTTATTTATATATTTATTTATTGATTGTTGAAATGCTGCTTTCAAAACTAGCTGAAATGAAATATTTTTTTATATAAGTTAAGGTTTATCGGTTTCAAGCTTTTTATGGATGGATGGATAGATAGATAGATAGATAGATAGATCGATAGATCAAACTTAATCCAAGATAAAAAGTACTTTGAGTTTATGATCATCATAATTTAAAAGATGACACCAATTGTGTTCACTTCTAGTCATGAATTGTGAGGACAAAGTAGAGTCAGTACTTCAATTGCCCTCTCAAAACAAATTATGAATATTTCACACTGTGTTTTGATAAACCAAAATATATTTACATCCCATGTGGAATACAAACACCACTGACAGAGAGATGAAGCGACAAAGAGATGAGGGTTTTGTCATTTTCCCCTCTGACTCGCTGTACTCTCCTCATTCTTTTAAGACCCTTGAGGGTTTAATGTCAGCTTCTGCAGTTTTAGACTTTATATGGAATACAAATTCACATGAATTAATTCACTTCTTATTTTACCTTGCGCTTATTACTCTGTGCCAATAGGTTGAGGCGGCACTTTGGAAAAAGTTAAACTGCCCAAAGGGAGACGGAAGAAAAGAAGCTATTAAAGTCGAGGTGGAGAAGATCCTGAATTTAGGCCGTGGAAAAGATTTCTCAACTACATTATTCTTATTGGCTTTTAATTGTCATGGAAGCACAAGTCTAGTACGTGTTGATTTAAAAAGGCCTTGAGTTGTTCAGCTTCTGCGTGTATTAATCCACGGCTGTATTCAAACACATTCTTCATGTATGAATAAACAAAAAAAAAATGCTTAAACTGAAACAAAAACTGAAATATTATTTAGTTTGCCGTTCATGCCAGCATGGGTATAATAAGTCTGGTTGCTTAGAAAACTAACAGCACAATGCTGTCCTTATAATCAATGTCACCCAAACACTTTATGTTAACATCTTGTGAAGACAAAAGAAACAAATCAATCATTAAGACATTTTTAACAAACCATTGCTTCCGGCTAAAGTCCATAATCCATAATAACACTTCCTCCAGTGAAAAAATCATCTGCTCTGAATCAGGAGAGAAATCTGCACAGATCAAGCACCATTTAAACAGCTCTAAACAAATATGTGGCTGGATTTTGATGTGAGAGACAACAGGAGATGGACTTTTTCACTGGAGGAAGCGTTATTATGGATTATGGACTCGTATTTTGGCAAGAAGCAATGGTTTGAAGTTAAAAACATCTTAATGCTGGATTTGTTTCAGCTTTTGTCTTCTCCAGATGTTAACTGATGGACTGAAGTGCTGTGGATTACTTGTGGATTATTGTGATGTTTTTATCAGCTGTTTGGACTCTCATTCTGACGGCACCCATTCAC